GTTCCGTTCGAACGACAACCTCTTGGTCAAGGTAGAGGTTCCTCATGAGTACAATCAAGTGTTTGGGAATTCCCATTCTCGATGTTATCCATAATTTGTCATGATCCACACAACCAAATGCCTTTGCACAGTCAATAAAACACAAGTAAACAGGCTTGTAAAAAGTAAAAAGGCTGCCAGAGAACACAATATTTCAGTGATACAGTAAATAATAATGTAATAATATTTGTTTCTATACCTTGGGAAAAAGAGAAGAGTTATGTTTTCTACCCTCATGCACTAAGCCTACTTGAATAGCCAAAGATATTTTCCTACTTTTTTTTTTTTTTTGAAGAGTTTGATTTACATTCAACATTTCCTGTACATTTAGTTGCATTCCCCAATTACCATCCCCAACACTAATCCAGTCTCCTCCTCTCTTTGACCATTAACCCCCTCCCTGTGCCCTCAGAGTTATACACTCCTGTTTGTCCTGCATTTCCCCTGTGTGAATGTTGCCCCTCTGGTGCCACGTGATTGACTGCTTCAAGGGATGCATCTCCATAGAATATGTGGGTGCATCACCCTGGGTTGAGTGGTCTGCGTGTACACCTTGTTTACTATTAGGCTGAAAGCCAGCCTCTGGAAGTGAGTTTTATTCTAGGCCCAAAATGTATCCCAGGGCCATAGTATTGGGGGTCCCACCAGACTCCATATGACCAGCAATTCTGGTCATTATTGTCTTTTTGGATTGTGTTTCACGTTTTTCCTCCCACTCTATCCAGGATCTCCAGATTTGATCATTTCCTGAGTGGTTGGCATTGGTAGCCAGGCACCATCTAGTTCTTCTGGTCTTGAGGTTCATCGTGTCCTAGGGCTGATTGCTTCCAAATGTCCTTGTTTTTTTTGCACTCTTTTTCATTTCCAATGATAGGTGACCATTAGCCACATCTTAGATGGCCACTTGAAAGCTTTTAAGACTGCTTAAAAGCTGCTGCTCACCAATGTAGGTTGTGGAACAAAATTGATATGTATTTTGTTGTGCCAAATTGAGTCTGGTGTCCCCCAGTACCATGGTCCTGGGTCAGTAGACCCATTGGAACTCTCACCCACAGTGTCTGGCTGTCTGTGAGGGATTACTCTATGTCTGTCATTTGCGGTTTCTTAAGTATTGTGGGTATTTTGTATTACTGGTATCTGTGCAAGATTAACCACAGCTGAATCTATCCTTGGTCTAGAGTATTATACTGTTCACTGACCCCCATCTGATCTTCTCAGATGTTTATGTGTTTATATGTAGCCTGGCATTTGGTGTTAATGGTAATGCAGTATTGTGGATATACTGGTTGGTATTAGCCTCTGTCGTCTATATCTAATGTGCACAATTTGGTGTCCTCCCTTTTCCTAATGTTATCATGGTGGTAACAGACTCTTTCCATACTTACCTCCCCTTACCCATGTCAGTGAGTGGCCCCATCTAGCCCAAAATTAATCCCTTCCTTTCCTTTCCCACCCTGGTAACCTACAAAGAGAGTTTCCTTTCTTAAGCAAACCCACCTTTGTCTTTTTATGGTAATGGGATCATACAGTATTTGTCCTTCTGTGATTGACTTATTTCACTCAATATAATGTCCACGTTGTAAGATGATTTGCATATCCCTCATTGTTCTTTAATGTAGAGTAGTATTCCATTGTGTGAATACATCATAATTTGGTTATCCATTCATCCATTGATGGGCATTTAGGTTGTTTCCATCTCTTTGCTATAGTGAATTGTGCTGCAGTGAACATAGGTGTCCATATATCTGTTCGTGTGCTGCCTCTCACCTCTTTAGGGTATATTCCTAAAAATGGAATTGCTGGATCAAATGGTCTATCTATTTTCAGTTTGTTAAGGAAATGCCACACCATATGCCACAACAGTTGTACCATTTTACAATCCCATCAGGAGTGCACAAGAGTTCCAATCTCTCCACAACCTCACCAGCATTTGTTATTTTCTGTCCTGTTGAAATTAGCTATTATTTCTGAGGTGAGATGATATCTCATTGTTGTTTCGATTTGCATCTCTCTAATGACTAAAGATCGTGAGCAAATCTGCATGAGTTAGTTGGCTGCCAGCATATTGTCTTTAGGGAAGTGTTTGTTCAAGTCTTTTGCCCATTTATGAATTGGGTTTTTTGTCTTTTTTTGTGTTGAGGTGTTGAAGTTTTCTATAGCTTTAGGAGATAAGTCCTTTGTCAGATATGTCATAGGCAAATATTTTCTCCCAATCTGTATGTTCTCTTTTCACCCTTTTGATGAAGTCTTTTGATGCACATAAGAATTCAGTTTTTATAAGGTCCCAGTCATCTAGCGTCTCTTTGATCTCTTGTGCATTCTGGGTTATGTTTGATACTCTATTTATGCTGTAAATTAGGGATCCTATGTTTGCCCCTATTTTTCCTTTGATAAATTTTATAGTTTTGGGTATTACGTATAAGTCTTTGATCCAGCTTGAGTTTGTTTTTGTGTATGGGGTGTATGTTTTTGTGTATGGGTCTTGTTTCATTTTTCTGCAAGTGGATATCGAGTTTTGTCAGCACCATTTGTTAAAGAGGCTGTCTCTTCCTCATTTAATGATTTTTGGACCTTTGTCAAAGATGGATGAATCTATATCTGGACTTTTGATTCTTTTCCATTGGTCTATCTGTCTATCATTGTACCAATACCACGCTGTTTTGACTACTATGGCTGTATAGTAGGTTTTAAGCTCTGGGAGTGTGAGACCTCCCACTTTGTTCTTCTTTTTCGGAAGTGCTCTGTTTATCTGAAGCCTCTTTCCTCTCCATATGAAGTTAGTAATTGTTTTTTCCATTTCATTAAAAAATTTTGTTGGTATCTGGATTGGGATTGCATTCGATGTGTAGATTGCTTTAGGGAGTATTGACATTTTTATAATATTCAGTCTTCCTATCCATGAACAAGGCAAGTTCTTCCAATTATTTAGAGCCCTTGTCTCTTGTAGTAGTGTTTTATAGTTTTCTTTGTATAGGTCTTTTGTGTCTCTGGTAACATTTATTCCTAGATTTTTTTTAAAAATCTTTTTAGTAGCTATTATAAATGTTATTGTTTCCCTTATTTCTTTTTCAGATGTCTCTTTTTGGGTGTAGAGGAATCCAACTGATTTTTGTATGTTGACCTTGTATCCTGCCACTTTGCTGAACCTCTCTATTAGTTCCAGTAATTTTTTTGTTGAGTCTCTTGGGTTTTCTATGCACAGGGTCATATCATCCACA